GGCACAGAAAGAGAAATACCACACGTTCTCACTTATTGTTGGGGAAATACCACACGCACACACACAAAAATCGGGGGGGGGGGAGAAAGAAAAAGGAAAAAAAAGATAACAGTTTAAAGTAAAATAGGGACAATGTATTGGTTGATTATAGTTTATGGATAAGTGAAACGAATGACAGCAATGTCAGAAGGGACAGGAGGGAGGAATTGGGAATACTCAGTTAAAAATTAAAAGTGGACTTACATAATTTTTAAATGTATATTGTAAGTCCTAGGGCAACCACTAAAAAGTTTAAAAAAGAAGTATAAATAGTATGCCAAGAGAAGAAGTAAAATGGAATCATACAAACTGCTCCATTAAAACCAGAGAAGAGGAAAAATGAAACAGAACAAATGCAATGAAAATAAAAGTTACAGATGGTCAACAACAACATGAAAAGATCGTCAACATCATTAGTAATCACGGAATGCAAGTTAAAACTCACAATGAAATAATAATACACACTGGCTAGAATGAAAATTGAAATAAAAACTGATAGTACTGCTGAGGATACAGAACAACTGTATCTCTCATACATTGGAAAACAGTTTGGCAGTTTATTTTAAAGTTAAATATATACTTATCATATGACTCAGCAATTCCACTGTTAAGTATTTACCCAAGAGAAATGAAATGTCCATACAAAGACCTGTACACAAAATTATGGAGAAGAGATTAGTGGTTGCTAGTGGCTCAGAGGCTCAGAGTGGGGGTGCAGGGCAGGAGGGAAGCAGGTATGTCTATATAAAGGCCACATGAGGAATCCTTAGTGATGGAAATATCCTGTATTTTGAGTGTATTGATGTCAAAATCCTGGTTGTGATATGTTACTATAGTTTTGCAAGACGTTACCATTGGGAAACTCTTGGTAAAGGGTACGTGGGATCTGTATTATTTCTTACAATTACATATGAATTTACAATGATCTCAAAATAAAAAGTTAAATTAAAAAATGTAAGGTGGCCTACAACATGTAAAATACAGGTAAATATTGACAGACATTTTTGGGAACATTCCCATTGTATCAAAGAGGTGTAAATATAACATAGTACGTTATCAAGTGTGGCTAACCATTGATTACTTATGCCAATGGAGGAGAATGAAAGTAAAGATCAATTAAGACATAATCTTTGTTTTCGATCTAAAGTTAATTTATACATGGCTCGGGAAGGCATCAGATTTATACACACATACATACCTTGTCGGCAGACTTACCTTGCTAGTAATGTCTGACCTAGGCGGCATGCTCCTTCCTTCCCCTCCACCCCCAACACTTTCATCAGAAACAATTGCACAGTGGGAAAAAGTATCAGCTTTGGAGTTAGACAAATAAGAGGCTGGATCTCCCATCTGCTACTTACCTTACTGAGTTTCAATTTCTTCATAAGTAAAATAAGTATAACTTATAGAAATAAATTTGGCTCAATATAATAGGAAACTCAAAAACAATTTGCAATACAGGTGTAAAACTGGTCCTGGACAGGAGAGAGCAAGTTTAAGACAAATTGTGATTTTTTTTGAATGATTAGATGAAAGTGATAGATTTACAATGAAACTGATGAAACTTAATCTTCAGGGTCTTTCATTTGCCTATGGGCCACTTCCAAGGCTTTGGAAGATGCTCTAGTAATGGCCTTATGTTTTTGAAAAAATACAATTTGCAATAGTAAGATATTTTAGCTGTGATCAGTTATGACTTCTTTCAACTTGCTGGCAAACTGTCTGTAAAAATAAATAAATAAATAAATAAATAAATAAATAAATAAATAAATAAATAAAAAGCTCTGATTTGTACCACTTGCAATTTCCATGGTGTAAATATTCCCACCAAGGCTGATTTCACGTTACCAACAGTTTAACAAGCAGATCACAAAATTCTTGAATATTTTACAATCAGCTCTTGAGAACCTCCAAGTGTCCCTTCAATACACTTTCCTTCCTGCCTGGTGGTGGTGGAATGGGCATAAGCATTTTGGGATTCTACTATGGGAAAGTTGAGTTGATGTTGCACTAGTGTAGGCTTAGTGTCATCTATTTATGTGGGTTGAAGTCACTTTCATATATCCTTAAGTTATTGATATACCTCCTAGTGTAGGACTAGCTTCCAGGAATATTCCTACCCTACTGTACTGACTTAACTGGAGTTGTGACTTGAATGTACAGGGCCAGGAGTCATATCATGATATGAAAGTGTCCTACAGGTCCTGGCCTCCAAAGTAAGTGCATAGTTGTCTTAGTCTGTCTAGGTTGCTATAACAAAATATCATAAACTGGGTGGCTTATAAACAACAGAAATATATTTTTTCACAGTTCTGGAGCCTGAGAAGTCCAAGATCAAGGCACCCACAGATTCCGTGTCCCACTGTGAGGGCCCACTTTATGGCTCACACATGGTGCCTTCTCGCTGTGTTCTAACATGGCAGAAGGGGCAAGGCAGCTGTTTGGGGCCTCTTTTATAAGGGCACTAATCTCATTTGTGAGGGCTTCCTCTTTATGTCCTAGTCACCTCCTGAAGCCCTACCTCCTAATACCACCGCATTGGTGATCAGGTTTCAACATATGAATTTTGGGGCGACAGAAACATTCAGAGCACAGCAGTAGTGAAAAAGAAACAAGATTTCAATTACAAACTGGATGTGGAAAATGATCAGATGTGAAATTGTTAAGAGAAGGATTTAGTTCTTACTGATGTCTAGCCAAAATGACTCTCTCCTGTTAGGGATAAACTTGATAATAAAACTATTAAATTTCCAACAATTTTTTAAAGGGAAGTGTAGGCATAAATCTATACTAGTACTTTAAACAGCAAGTGTGTCTAAGTATGAATTACTACGTGTTATGCATCACAGCATACAGATCATACCTTAACATGATATTAAATGAGTTATGAAGCTTAAAGAAAAATTTCTAAAAGATTAGAAATTAAGAGACCATGCTAGAGGACAGGCTGAATTATCTTTATATCCTCTTTAGAGAAAATATTAAAAAATTCTTGTCACATGAAGAAGGTATCAACAAACATGTGAGCAAAAATGTAGGAAAAAATATTACAAATGTGTAGCAGGCATTACTTAAAAATATGTTGTACCTATTTGGAAAAAGATAAAATGAGATGTATACATTGTACCAGTCATTTGGTTAAGATGATGCATATACCTTTAAGTGGTGGCTTTTATATACTGTATATTTAAAAAAAAATCAAAGCATCAGGCAAAACTCAGAGTACGCAGCAGGAGGCAGTCGCTTTCCCAGGCTCCATGGAAAATGGTCCAGCCACGCCCACCCTCTTGGCCGCCCGCGCCTCTTTTCCCGGAAAAAATCATCTCTTAGAACCAGAGAGCCCCTACTCCCACGAGCCTAAATCTTTTCCCATCAGCATGCGCACGCCTGCGCAGAGTCTCCAGGCTTCTGCTTTCCAGCGCCCGACCGCTTCTTTCTCCTGCTCTCCTCCGGCCTCCCCTTAGCGCCAGCTTTTCCCTGAGGGGTCATCACAGGGCGCCAAACACGCGCCCGCGGGAAGGCCGGGGGCGGGGCGCAGCGCGGCGCGTCAGTGGCCTTCCGGGCGGAAGTCCGCAGTCTACCGAGCAGCTGATTGGCTTTCCGGCTGGCGCCAGTCTCGGCCCCCGCGCCAGTTTTGGGTTGGTTGGCGCGGAATTGGGAGACTCTGGGACCATGGCGCCCGTGCACGGCAACGACTGCGAGCTGGGGGCAAGCGGTGAGGGACGACTCCGCGCGCGAGGCGCCCGGTTGGGAATGTGGGGACCGAGGCATGACAGGGGGTGGTGGGGATTCTGGGGCTTTCGGCTTTATATTTTCTGAGGGAGGCGCGCGCCCGGGTTGCCCCGCGGGTCTGTTTGGGCGCACACCTTGGTCATCCCGGGCGGGGACCCTTCTGGCATCGGACGGGGCTTCCTTGCAGGGCGGTTTGCTCTTGGTAAACCCGAGCAACCCCCTGCAGTGCTTTTTGTTTGGGAGGCTGCCTCACCTCTGCTCCTGAGGGTGTCCACACTCGCTTACTTTTCTTTTTATTTCTTTTGGTGAGTCATACCCACGTGCTGCGCACTTCATCTAGACTGGCCCGGGTGGGACACTGTCTTGGCGGAAAGTATTTCACTGCTCCCACCGCAAGTATCCGCTTGAGGGCTAAGACAGAACAGATGTGTGTCCCCCTTTCTAGGAACTCTCAGGAAAATTGTAACAAAGTGGGAAAGAAAGCTCTAAGTGTTGTTACCAGATACAAATACGTTTTGTCTTTTTAGGGGATGGGTTTCTGCTATATGCATTAACAATTTTTCTTTCAAATTCTTATATGGAAAGTTCTTCAAGTGCTGCATGGAAATAGTGTCCAAAATCTAGTCATTTCTGGTGAAGTTTCTTAAAAAAAAAAAAAAAAAAACCCCGATCAGTTCAGCAGCATTTCGGATGCCCTGTATATCACTCAGTTTGTCAGTGGTAATATTTTATTTCTAAAAACAGAATAAGAAATGCAAATAGCTTTGTCTGATTCCTGATTTTTGAACAGTGTTCAACTAAAGTGTGACTTCAGTGAACTTCTAACTTAAAATCAGATGCTTCCACTTCTTAGCTCAAGCATCACATGTCCTGTCACTCAAATACATCACCATTAACGAGAATTTGCTTCCTAATCAGCTTCCTTTGCATTCACCTAGTTGTGAATCACAGATTTCAATTTGTTCTTCTAGATTTTTGTTTCTTTAAGACAATTTATTTTGGAGAGTCGACTAACCTGAATTACAAATGGGATGTAGGGTGTGAGTCTTTGCAGCCCTCTATCAGTGATTTGCCATTAAGCCCTTTTTTCACCCTAAAACTGTACGTCATCCGTGAACATCAAGATATCACTCTCTGGAGGATACCGTGCAATCTTGAGACACCTTTTAAGTCATGGTGTTGATTAAGTAGTTGCTGGGAACTTGTTACTGGAATTTTTCCTTTAGAGCAGACTGAAAGATTATTACCTGGAAGATTGCTGCAAGCTAGTGTCTCTGATCTTGAGGATAGAAGTACTCGAGATGATAATTTTGAACCAAATATTTAAAATTTTGTAACTGGATTTTTTCATGCTTATTCTTTTTTGCTAACTTACCTACATGAAGCATTGGAGACATTCCAAAAAAGAAAATCTAGGCCTTTTTTTTTTCTTAAGTATTAGAAGATGGGGCACCTTGACAATGGCAGTGAAAAGTTGAAAAGTCTAACTAGCTGCTGTTTATAAGAAAAGACATCGGGGAGAGTTTAATGATCAAAAAAGCGGGTACAATGGTTCATTCATTTGTTCATTCAGCAAATATTTATTATGTACCTATTAGGCATAGGCATTCTGCCATACTCTGGCATTACCATGGTGGGTAGGCTGGACATGGTTTCTCTCTTTATGGACTTGAGATGGTAAACATGTAATTTTATGCAGTGCTATACTGAGGCTTCCCTGAGAAAACTGCTTTGCTTTATTTTTGCTTTCTGAAGCTACAGCGTGTTACTGCTAGATGTAGCGTGTTTGTGTGTGTGTGCTTGACTACCCGGCATCTATACACACAGACACAAACATTAAATAAATGAGCTCCTATATTGCTAAGTACAAAGTAAGATAGGCATCCTCATTTAATCCTTAACAGCTTTTTGAAGCAGACATGATTATCCCCGTTTTACAGATGAGGACCCTGAGGCTCTGCGTTAGTCAGAGTCCTTAGTTGTAAGCTCCAGGAACGAACTGTAGCTGATTTAAACAGAAAAGGGATTTATTAGAACATTGTGTTGTTCACAGAAACTCCAGGATGACTGGAAAGCTGGTCTGGGGGCTGCTTAGCCAGGAACAGTGATTAAAATTGTGCCACAAAACTGGGCCAGTGTGGAGGTCATTGCCAACCAAGACCAAATACTCGATGCTATAGCTTGTTTCTTAGGACATTGTCGGCACTGTTGCCCCAGGTTCTTAATCCTCCTGCAGCTGTTGCTACTTCTAGAATCTTCCTTAATGTCACCACCCTTTGTTGTGACACTAGCTTCTGACTTAAAGTCTGAGCAGGTGTTCCTAATTGGTAGAGCCTATTTCATAAACCTATGTCCATGCCCTGGCTGCAAGGGTGTCTGGGAAAGAACATCTGCCTTTTCAGCTTCTGTAGTGGGACATAGGCTCTGCGTCCCATCAGGACTTTATAAGGGGGAAATTTCACAAACAGTTTCAGATGCTGGGCAGCTTAAAACAACAAGAAAACAGCTGTCCACTGCTTAACTGGTTAGCAGGTGGTCTCGTCACACAGTAAATGGCAGCACTGGGATGTGCTGCTTCTCCCTCATCTCCTCATTCTCTTTCTCACTCTACACTTTCATGTTGAATTTACCTTCCACACTGACTTTATCTCAGTTTCTGAGTACGCCTTGTATTTTCATCCCTTTGTAATTTGGTTCATGCATCTTCCCCTGCTTGTGCCTCATTTTTACCCTTTTCTCTGATGGTGAAATTCTACTTCGTCTTAGGCTTGTATTGGAGTATTGGAAATCTCCCCTGTGAATCCTTCCCTGATTTCCCAGGCAAAATTAACAACTCTCTTCTCTACATTTCCACAGTACTAAGTTCTTTCCTCTTTTGTGGCACCATGTTTATACTATGGTGGTAGTCTCAGATCCATTTGCTTTACTTGACTGTGAGCCCCTTGAGGACAGGCAACTCTGTCTTATTTGTAACTGTACCCTAAACCTGTGTAGTGGAACATGGTTGCCTGTGGAGTAAGCCTATTTGAAGACGTATAGATTTTGTCAGGAGTCAAGGGAGTCTTGAAGAGAATGTACTGAGGCCAGCTTTTCACTCTAAGTGGTTGTGTTCAGTAATCTTGTACAGTAATCTCTGAAACCTTTTGATGTAGGCCTGCTCACGATTTTCGAAATTGTTTGAGTGACACCCAAGATCTTGTGGCTGTCATCATTAAGTACCTGCATTCCTTAATTTGTACTTTATGCCTTTCTGAAAATGGATTTAAAAGTCAAATGTGAAAGTCAAACAATAGGCTGAGAAATTATAAAGAGAGATTCCATTTCCAGAAAACTAGAAAAAAAATCGGATCTCTAATTATGCCTCACTTTTAAGATAGTTTTCAACAGTTTATTGCCAGCATTTGGTAACATATTCTTTAAATTGTATCTTCTATTTCAGTCAGACACTTAGTCAAACAGCTTAATGTTGTTATGAACATTCCAGTGGAGTTGGAGCTTTTAGGATGCCTCTGATCAATACTTCACCTTTTCTCTACCTACTCCTTTTGGTAAATTAATTAGCACCAAACACAATAAAATATTCAATTTCACAGACATAGATTGCAGTCGTGCTGAGCTTAAACTCATGGCTGGCAGACAGCACTGTCATGCTTGATTTGGTTATTCATCAGCTGGTATATGAAAGTCATAGTTCTTTGGATGAATTCATTTCAGTAACTATGTGGGGTGGTCAGTTTATAATGACCCAAAGCATGAAAAATTCAAAAGTTGAGTGAGTGAACACCGAGGATCTCTGGTATTTCAGTAATTTTTCATCCTGTAATGTCATTACCAACTTAAAGCACTGAAATCAGTGATAGAATCAAGAATCTCCTCAGAGCCATCTTTGTTAAATTCCCCCAGTTTCCAATCTGTTCCTCCTTTGAAATTACAGGTACTTTGGGCTGGCCCCGTGGCTCTCTCGGAAGAGTGCAGCACTGGGAGCGCAGTGGTGCTCCCACCGCGGGTTCGTATCCTATATAGGGATGGCCAGTGCGCTCACTGGCTGAGCATGGTGTGGGCGACACCAAGCCAAGGGTTGAGACCCCCTTACCGGTCACACACACACACACACACACACACACACACACACACACACACAAGAAATTACAGGTACTTTATCTGAACCTCTTTTAGGACATGTTTCACTTCTAAATATTGTTTTAGTGCCAGTTGCTATTTACTTCCCATATTAGATTGTAAGTTCTGTGAGTACAGGGACTGTGTCTTATTGATCTTTGTGTCTCTCAGATACTCCTTAAAACCTTTCAAATGTTGATTAATAGAACATAAAATCAATTGACCTTTTACAACTCACTGGATTACTTGTGGTCTATCATTTCTAACAGAAAGGTTATGGACTAGCCAATGGCTGATCTCCCTTCTCTAGTGTCTCCATAGGATATCAGTTGAATTTGGGATTTTCCTTTTTTAGGAGGAAAAAAAATAACAGTGGCTTCAGGTGTTTTAGCTGAATTTTAGAGAAAATTTCTGAAGAGCTACAGGGTCTGCATATTTGGCCATGAGCTTTGTGAATTATTTACATTATAAAAAGCATCCATTTGTATAATATTAAATTTGTGTATTATTCTTGGCTAGAAATGTTTCCTTGTTTTTGAGGGAAGATGGCTGACAATTTTGTAACATCTCATGTAAATTTGGCTTTCTTTCAGCTGTGTCAGATTCGGGGAGTTTTATAGCTTCTCGAGCCCGGCGAGAAAAAAAATCAAAGAAGGGGCGCCAAGAAGCTCTAGAAAGACTGAAAAAGGCTAAAGCTGGTGAGAAGTATAAATACGAAGTAAGTAACCATTTTTCCTTTCTTTTCCCCCTGTGCTTTATCTGATTCGTAGCTTGCAGGTAGCATTATGTCAGTCACCCTTGCCACTGATTGGAAATATTTCCGTATTTCAAGCTTCTTTTAATAGTAATTTCTTAATATTGAGTGGGCATGAGGTAGATTTACAGAGTATGGCAAGGACTTGACCCTTAAAATTCCTGTAAGGCACTTTATAGATGATTTTAAAATTCCAACATGAAAGTAGGTATATTTATATTTTTCCTTACGGAGCATGCTGCATCTTTGGTAAGTCCCATGGCATTGTTGGGGGAATTTAGAGGTGCTTTTACTTTACTCTTAAAACTTTCATTAATAATCTGTAAAGATACACACCCAAAAAAAAAAAAAAAGGTATTGAGCAGTCTAGCTAAGCACTGCTTCTTGGAGAGAATTGTTTTTCCTAATCTCATTTGCAGTGGAGACTTGGACATTACTTTTGCCTTGTCCTACTTGTGAGATTGAATGTGATGCTCTTTTGGCTGTTTTCCTCTACCTGCTGTTTATGGCCTGTAGGTAAAAATCAGAGTGGCTACCATCTACATAACGTTGTGTAGCTTTACCTTTAACACTCCCTAAGTACATTGACTATCTCAAGGCTAAAAAGAGATTAGTACTAGAAAATAATAACAGCAGCAGCTAATATACTTTTTAAACAACACACTAAGTGCTTTTACCAGTGCATTTCTTCATTTACTCCTTCCAATAATCATATGACGTTAGATACTGTGATTAACAGCATCTTGCAGGTGAAATATCTGAGGCACAGAAAGTTTAGTGAGGTCACAGTGGCGGATACATTTGAGCCCAGGCAGTCTGGTTTCAGAATATGCATGTTTAACCATGGCCTATACTATATTGGGCAATTAAGCAAATAGAAGAGGATTTTTGCCATTTGGTATCATTTGTTAAGTGAGGCGACCAGATCATAAATGGTTGCTAAAAGGATTACAGTAAAGCAGGAGTAAAGCACTTTTATTGTAGGTACTTCTGTAGAGGAGTTCTGTGGGGCATTTCAGATGTTGGCACAATGTGGCTGATTTTCCTTTAAACACTGGGATGTTAATTGTATGGCTCTAAGAGTTCATGATTAGCAGTAGCAATGCTATTTTTCAAGATAGAGTCAAAATGACTTTTTCTCAAAATGATTTTTAAAATTAGTTTTCTCTTGTCTTCTTGATAGTATATAAGTGAATTACTTAAATACGAGACAAAGTATGTCTTCAACCAACAAAAATAATTATGCCAGATTCCCCCCATGCAAAAAAAGAAAATTGGTCAGTACAGTAGTATTAATTGGACTGGTTTATGTCTGGGTTGTTAAAAACTTAGTTTGGTAGGGCAGGTTTCTGTTACCGAATGGTGAAAGGCCAAATCAGTATTTGCCAGTGATCCCTATAGAGTAAGTAAAAAGAAGGTGAAAACTAAGCCTAATCCTGTAATTATTATAAGCCTTGTAGGTGTGGCAGAAATCCAGTCTGCTCTGGCCATCAGACTCTCAAAGCTTTGTGTCCAAGTTTTTTCCTAGGGTCTTAGCTCTTTAGGTAGAGTTGTTTTTCCCATACCCCATTCGAAAAAGGCAGAACTCTTGAGAGAAGAGAGGAATTTTTTTGTTTTTTTTCCTTTTTGTGACCGGTAAGGGGATCGTAACCCTTGGCTTGGTATCGCCCCGCACTGCTCTCAGCCAGTGAGCGCACGGGCCATCCCTATATAGGATCCGAACCCGCGGCGGGAGCGCCGCTGTGCTCCCAGCCCCGCACTCTCCCGAGTGAGCCACAGGGTCGGCCCGAAGAGAGGAATTTTTTTTTTTTTTCCTTTTTGTCTTTTTTTTTTCGTGACCGGCAACGGATCGCAACCCTCAGTGTCGCGCCCATACCAGACCGGGACCGGCCACGGGATCGCAACCCTCGGTGTTGCCCCCCCCCG